TGGACTCTTTTTGTACTACTGATTCGTTTTCTTTTTTTTGTTGAATACAGTCTATGTAACTGTTTGTTTGTTTATATTTATCTACCACGGTATGTACAACAGAAATGATAATAAAAATTTTCGAGCAGTCAATGGTATCTGATAAATGATATTCTAATAGCTTTTTATGATCATCAATACTAAAGTATATCTCATATGATTTCTCATTGGAATTTAATAAAATTTCGCTTATAATTTTATCTAAATACTTTTTGATATCATAACCTTGGCAATATAATGGTAGTGAAATATATATTGGAGGACGGAATTCTATGTAATAATTGAAAATTTGAAACGTACATTGTACTCGGGCTTTGTTTGAAGTACACGGCGCACATACTTCAAAAAACGTAATATAATTCTGAAATATATCACTCAACGGATGTTCATACTCATACTCGAGTACAACTTTGTTATCCAACATTTTTGTTGGTATAATCTGAATGGATTCGAGTGACAAGTGATATGTATCAACAAAACTTTGAACTAAATTTAAAATCTTACCATTCGCAAGAGTATAGATGTGATATAATTCTTGTTTACCATTTTGACATATGTATTCAATTTTAAATAAACGTTTTTCTTTTGGTAATGCTAATGGTAAAAATGTCACGGAATCAGTAGTAACATCTTCTTTATTACAACTCTCATACGATACAGCTGATTGAATTTTCCAGTGAAATAATTGTTCAATAATAGTTGTTGCACCATTGTCTTTTGTTTGTAGATCACTATGTAATAAATCTAATAGAATATTCATAAACTCTTGGGCGTCTTGTTGACGATAGTTAAAAAACTCCGGTACATGATCACTAACAGTTAGCATGAGATTTTTCGGTGATAACGTTCGTTGTTGACTAGACCACATTGTTTTAATTAAATCAGCGTAAACATTTGCAATATTTTTATTTGAATTATTTATCCATTTTAAAAAATAATCGGTTAATTGTGGAATATTACTCAGACATTGTAATGCACTATTCATATAACAGATGCTGCCTTCATTTTTCAATCCACATCGACCCGCTTGTTTTTCTCCATTTAACAGTGATAACGATGATGAAGATAAAACTATACGGATAGTGCAATAGTGATACAATTCACTATCCTTTACTGTACATGTATTTTCATTTGCTACTTCAATATTTATCCATTGTTTATTTTCATGCATTTCAAGTTTGATAGTTTCATTTGACTTCAGTTTTATTTTTATTTTATCAATAATGTAATCTTTTAATTGTCGAATAGTTGTATTTATATTTATCGGCATAAAAATATAATCAGTCCTTGATTCTCCTTTTGTGCATAGCTTGACTGTAATCATCTCTGATACAATACAAACAGCATTCGAGATTGCGCTTGGTTGTTCCTTTCGGCTTGGCTCGTGTTTATTAATATTATTATTGATACCCATTTCGTTATGTGATAAGGGTGGTGATGGTTGAATATCTCAATTGGAACCATAATGATAAAAACAGTACAGTCTATCTGAATAGTACGTTGAACTCGATGACATAATGTTAAGTACTAAACGGAGAAAATAACCGCATAGAACTTACGCAGTACTTAAAGTAACGCGAGTGAGGTGTGAATTGCGTTTGCTGGTTCTGTATGGTTGTGAAAATACAGGCATTTTACGACTGACAATTAAAATTTCAGGTCCTTTTAGAAAAAAATTCACATCTCAGTCTGAGAATATTATTTTGACTCAAAAGTTGTACCAAACAGTCTATGCGGATTGTTTATCCAGATCTGCAGATTAACTATAGCATGGTCTTGAAAATCCATTGAAAAACGAGTAGACGGTATTGCGATACACGTGCTCTCTAAAAAAAGAACGTTTATTACAAAACTTAAAAGGGTATACAGAAGTTCAACCATTTCTAAATCCTTTTAGGTTTCGTAGAAGACAAGGTGCAGTACAAAACCGTTTTAAGTGCATTGAAACGACGCATCAGTGCATTTGCTTATTTCGTAATGATTTTTCCTCATCACTTTTTCTCGAAAAATCAAAAATTACAGAAGTTTCAGGTATTTTTTTGGCTCAGTTTTCGCCGCCCTATACGACAATGAAAACACACCTAAGCTGCTGAAATGGCCCACTTGCTCAGAAAAAAATTTGCATTAAACTGTGTCAGCTCATCCTCTATAGAAATATAAGCGAAAGCCAAAAAGAAAGATTACTTAATTTTTATAATCATAACCCAAACATGAAATTTCATAAGAAATAAGCTAGCTGCACTTGTTAAAGAAGCGCCTCTGTATATAGAGATTAATAATCTTCTCCGTACGCCACTGTATCAGAGGAACATACAACTAAAAGTATATGTTTTTCGTTCTGTTCTGATTAATTAATGAATTGAATTTGAGGAAATTAAATTAGATTACGGTAACTAAACTTATTCCCTATGAAGGAAGCATTTCTCAGAGTTGAACATAGAGACGACAACACAGAAAATTCCGTTTGCAATACTTTTTCGGAACACAATGTTCGGAAACGCTTTCTTCATAGCGAAAAATCAAATATAATTAAAAAGATCGCGTTTCACCATGAAGGAAGCTTTTCTCGAAGAACGGGGAACGATAAGACCCCAAATCGGTCCCCTTTCAAATCAGTCTTAAGTTACCCCATCTGATGCAGCTTTTGTCCAAGATTAACCCCAACATATTTTTAGACCGTAAAAATCCTTTTCAACGACCCCGGAAATCTTTTAGCAAAAAAACATCTTTCCCAATTATATGACCTTTACTCAAAGTATTTTCATCATTCCACTTCTTTAACCTAGAGCAAACGCAGCCCACTATACACTGTTCGATAGAGAATTTCACGGGCTACAAAATAATATATACGAGAGTCTTAAGAAGATGTAACTGGGTAGCCTTAGGTTAGAAATACTCGGTAGGATCTCAGCAAATTGGTAGGGCAGCATCATTCATGTTTATAATAATAAGTATATTTTCTTGTTAACCGCCCTACTTCATATATCATTCGATAGAGAATTTCACGGGCTTCGAAATGAGCTCTAAATAAGTCTTATCCAAAATTCAATCAAGTCAATAGCCAAAATACTTGGCCGATATAATGATTTTCATCTATCTTAGTGCTTTAAACAGTTCTTTAGTCATTTTTCTGCCATAGTGAATAGTTATGTATTTTGCAAAAACATACCATTGCATAGCCCTTGAAATTCTCTACAAACTGAGCTGGTCAGAATATCCAGACAGGTGGAGTTAGTCATTAAAGATGTGAAAAAGAAGCGTTTGTGTGTTATCTATGCAGCACAGCGTGTCGTAATCACAAGAACTACGACACGCTACTGTTTTGAATAGCACGAAGATTTTTCTATCAGATGAGGTGGATACAGCTCTTTCATGAGAAAGCTTGATAATAGGGTTTCAGGAAAACCTGAGCACTGGAAAACCGAGCCCTTAGTTTTTGGTCAGAAAATTTTATAAACCATATAGCCTGATAGAGTATAGAATTCTGCGTGAAAAAGCTAACCTTTTGCCAAAGCGGATATCAGATTAATGATCAGCTTCAAAAATAACCTCTTACGCGGTCTTCAGCCAGAATGTACGGTAATTAAATTACGTTACTTTACCTAATCTAAACCTATTTTCAAAATGCTTAGAGATTTTTGATGGTCTACTAGTTTTTGAGAATTGTCAAAGTTGAAGACCTATCTTTTCTATATTGGCAAACTAAATTTCTCGTGCTAAAAGTGATCTCATTTAGATTTCAACTCCTCTCTCATTCTTCTTCACAATTAAGATTTAAGTTTTCGTGTAATAGGTAAACTTCCCGAACCGATGAAATTCCGACATAGCTCAAAACAATATAGTCACTTTTTCTTCTTCCATTTGATGAGTGTGTAACGACTTTGTATCGTGTTCCCTTCTTTCCTTAATTCAAGCGTTCGTCCTTGCACGTTCGTTCTTTTCCTCACTTTTATTCAACTAACTCTATCTCTTCTCTCTCATTTACAAGAAAACGTATTCATTGAACACAAAAAGAGGGAAGGAAAAAAGAAAGAAACGCTAGAGACGTAAACGAAATCATCATTGGGCGGAGTTTAATGGTGAGTGATCAATACGAAAAAGAGAGAAAAGGGACCGGTGCGAAAAGATCAATAATCCCGGTGACGATAGTTCAACGATGAGTAATCAATGTGCCGAGGAGGTTTCTACACAGCGCTAACCTTCAGTTTTTCTTTACAGAACAATAAACAAGCTAGTATGAACAATAAGAAGATGGATTAACTATGAAAAGCTCGGATATTCATCCCTTTACCCCTCACTATTTACGCCGCTCCAAACGACCGTAGCTACGACCGTAGTTTTTCTCATTTCTGTCCTCACTCCAGGTAAAATTCATGCTACTAACTTGATATGTTGATGGTTCCTGTCTTACGCACAAAATCTTCGGTTAATATTGACCAGAATGGATGGTGGATTACTTTTAGCTAATATTATTTCAACTTTCTTGCCGTACAATTTTTATCTAAAACTAATTGTGAGGAGCATGTATCTTTAAGCAGCAACTGGAAACAGAAATTAAAGTTGATGGTGTATCAGAAGTAGTCCTAAACAGCTTGCTTAAAACCAGTTGCTTTTAGCGGAAATCTCATTTGTTGTTTATTTTAGTTTTTACACGCCATAAACCTGCTCGCACTCGAGTTTTATATAGAAATAAAAGTCTTATTTACTGTTGGTACTTTCATTAAGTGAGGCAAAACTACACAAATAAATCTTGTGAACAATACTCTTTGTTTTTATATCATTAAAAGTACAAAACCGGCACTGTCGTGCTATTATAATAATTCTTTATGTTAGCTATATGAGTTCTGGCGATTATTAAATAAATTAATCGTTTCTTAAATAAATTAAAACGTAAGCGTCTTTTGTCTTGACTGTGCTCTCATCGTTTATACGTGTGACATGCTCATCATTAAATTCATACCATTCTTGCGTGTCTTTATTCTTTGCGTATGTTACATAATGACCACCACTCAATTGTCCGCGATGAACAGAAACAGCTACAAGATTATACATCCACGTTTGTTGTTGTTTCTCAATAACATACTTCGTCAAGTCGAGATTATACAATGGATAATCAATATTTATATCAATTTTGTCTAGACGATTTGGATCATGATTAAATCGTTTCAATTGAATAATTAACACCTCTGGTAGTGAATAAATATCAGATTTTTGTCTAGCATCATGTAATCCATTGCACGTTGAACAATGCCATTGTCCGTCTAAATCATCCTCTTTCATGAATTCTTCCACACAATCAGATATAGTTGTCAATCTGCTTTTCTCTTGTGGCAATGGTAATTGAAGAAAACTTGTATCGTCTATTGTGCAGTCTGGTACTCCACATTTAGAACAGATAACAGTCGATTGAATTTTTCCAAGAAATAAACGTTCAATGTCACTGTGTTCTAGTTGTATTGCATTCAATAGAACATTCATGAATTCATGTGAATCTTGTTGCTGATAATCTGTGAATATGGGTGCTAATCCACTAATCGCATTTTTCAATGATTTCAAAGCAGGAGTAGTAGATAGCGTATTGTTTGTTGTCCATAAACCTTTCAATAGGTTTGAATAAGTACGAGAAACACTATTACTATTAGTAGATGACGTGAGAAAATATTTTGTTAATTGTGGTACATTGCTTAAACACTGTAATGCACTATTCATAAAACATGTATTGCCAAGATTGCGCAAACCGCATAATCCTAATCTCGAGTTTGTTTTATCCAGACTAATAATGGAGTTGTTGCAGAGACCAATATTAATGAGCGTCGAAGATGGCAAAAAGATGTCATTAAGGCATATCCAATACTCATTATTTTTAAATATTGACAACCTGATATTTTCACTTGAAGAAAAGTCTCGCTTGTTGTATTCAAAAATTTTACTTTTCAGCTCATCAAGAGACATCTTTGAATCGATCATCATAAAAACTAGTGCTGACGATAGTAATCGTCTAGTCTCACAAATCTTAACAGTTATAAGGTCTCTTACGTTCGATTGCTTGTTTTGTATGTCGTTTTGCTCATCTCTGAAACACACAGATATGCGATCACTATATAACAGACATATGAATAAAACAAGTTTATATTCTGAAGTAGCCAAAGGCTTTTGATTTTCGATCTTATAATCACATTTATCGGACAACATTAATCATATCCTGAGGTTTTAAACTTGTTCTGATGTTTTTCGGGTGAATAGTGAATTTTTTAAGATTACGTGAAATCAGTCTGAATGCCCCAATTTTTGTAAAACTCGATTGTCGGTAGGTTTCTAGGATTTTTCTAAACGCAAATATTGCCACAAGACTCAGCATAGTTATAGTTCATCCGTCTTTAAGGCTACCAATAGTCACCGGGTGCCGGTCCTGGGACTCGGAGGAAATCAAGACCGCCCTTGATTCCCATTTAGAAGAGGACATCTCGTGCTATTAGCCCATGAAAAAGATCATACAATGTAGAATTTCTACAGACGGCCTGCTTTCCTGAAGAAAAATTCCTGTAGATCCGGAAGTTCGGTAACTAGCGACTTCGGGTTTGCGCATTCTTGTAGAGGACACTTTGAGCTATCCAGCCGTATAAGTTGAGCGAAGAATTGTTTTGCGTTCAGCACCTGACCCGACGACCTCTTCATTCTTAACCCGTGAGGTGCACCTAGGCGTGGCACTTTTCCGCACGGTAAAGTGGTATCTTTTATTTCAAAAGCAAAGAGTAAAGATATAATTCATATCTTTTCTTTCCTGCGAAAAAGGAAAGCGGCACCTTTTCTTTTTGCAAGAAAAAGACTTTTCTTTGCACCTTTTAAGCAAAGTCCTTTTCTTGCAAAAAGAAAATATGTCGCTTTTCGTTTTTTGAAAAAGAAAAGGTGCCACTTTCCTTTTTCTTAGGAAAGAAAAGATATAAGCCCCTTAAATCAAAAGATGTAATCGATTATCTTGTACAAAATGGTGCAAACCATAGGGCTCTGTCACTTTTCGTTCCCGAGTTATTCTTGTGTGCGTGTAACTGAAGAAAGTGTTTTTATCTCGGTGATAAAAGAAACTTATGTTGCTGTCCTAGCAGAAGGAGCTGGAGTATCATTGCATATAAACCCTGAATTCACGCGAAAAAGTTGATCTCAGTAGTAGATCATCCCTTAACTTTTGGCGTGTGACTGATGGCCTTCGATTCTGTCCCATGATTCAGCAGTTGAATACCTTTGGTTTGTTGGGTAAATGTGTTGATTACGTTGTGTGGTGCTGCTTGTTGCAGATTGTGTGATTGTTTCATCTCCCATTTCTGTAAAAAGAAAAGTAACATAGCTATTCGTGATTGACAGAATCATGCATACCATCTGGCTTGAATCGTTTGTGTCTCGACGTGGAAAAACATCCCTCATCTTCATCATTTTGTTTGCAATGGTCTGAACTTCCACAACTGTCTGCATTCTTGCATTCGATTTCTCAAAAGAAAAGAAATCATACCAGATAATAGTCCCAATCTCAAAATATTTCATACACTCACGTGGTTTTGCGTATAAATACTGCAGAAATGGGTACGAACAGAAAACTAATTTAATCTTAAGATTTGAATATGATATAATAATGTAAACAAAACCCTTCATTTACTTTTGAAAATGTGTTATAATAAAGAAAAGAAAAAACGAGCATCAGATCTAAAATAATTGTTTCAAAATTAGACTTGCTGTACTACGTCTCCCTGCCGCGCTCGAACTGATACTCCTTTCTCTTGTCTTTTCTAAAAAGCATTAAAAGATTCAAACAGAGTGTGAAGAATCATTCCCAATACACACATAAAGAAAATATCACCTGAGTCGTTAAAACTATCATTCGTTCATGATCCCTTTTTCCCCACTAACTTACAAACCAGGACACACTGATGGAAAGATTTAATCGTTTTGTTAAATAAACTAAAACGTAAGCGTCTTTTGTCTTGACTGTGCTCTCATCGTTTATACGTGTGACGTGCTCATCATTAAATTCATACCATTCTTGCGTGTCTTTATTCTTTGCGTATGTTACATAATGACCACCACTCAATTGTCCGCGATGAACAGAAACAGCTACAAGATTATACATCCACGTTTGTTGTTGTTTCT